TTTCTCTTCTATTGTTTGACCAACTATTCATAGCTAAGCCTAACTTGGATATGATGTCTAATATTTTTAATACATTGCTAGGTTTGTATTTTTCTTATTTTTCATTCATATTCATGAGTGAATATAAAATATAATATAACATAAATATATAATATAAACAAAATGTGTATAATATAAATATAATATATAAAAGTATATTTGTAATATAAATTAAAATTGAATATAAGATATAATATAAAATTATAATTTTATAATTTAATTTTAATTTTTCTGTTTCATCCTAATTTGTCTCATTTTGGTGTTAAGGTTATACTGGCCTCAAAGAAAGAGAGCATGTTCCTGCTATTTCCATTCTCAGAAAGAGCTTTTGTAAAATTAGAATTATCCCTACTTAAACTTCTGTAACACTGTCTAGATTTGATGTTTTCTATGTGGGAAGATTTTAAATTATGGATGTAATTTTTTAATAGTTGTAGAACTATTCAGGCTTTTTATTTCTTCTTCAGTCAAGTTAGGTAAGTTCTACTTTTTCTAAGATTTGGTCTACTTGGTTTCATATTTCTTGACATAAATGATTTATAGTCTTTTAATTTTTAACTTTACTGAAGTGTAATTGATTTACAACATTGTATTAATTAAATGTTTGATTATGGTAAAATACACATAACAAAAATTTCACCCCTTAACCATTTTTAAATGTACATATGGTTGTCTTACATTCACATTGTTTCATAATGGATCTTGAGACTTTTTTAACTTGTGAAACTGAAACTCCGTACCCATTAAACAAACAGCTCACCATTCCCCTCTGCCCCCAGGCCCTGGCATCCACTGTTCTACTTTCTGTTTCTATGAATCTGTATAGTCTTCTTTGTGAATTACTAGATATATTATTTAAAATTTTTAGGTTGGCCTATAATGTACAATATTATGTAAGCTTCAGATGTTCTACACAGCGGTTTGGTATTTGCATGCATTTTGAAATTATCACCACAATGAGTCTAGTATCCACCTCTCTCCATACAGAATTATCAAAATGTTATTTGACCATGTTCCCTATGCTGTGTTACACCCCTGTGGTTTATTTTGTAGTTGGCGCTTTGTGCCTCTTGATCCCATTCACCCATTTTGGACCCTCTCAGCCCCTTAGTCTCTATCAACCACCCAACCATTGTCTGTATTTAGGAGCCTGGTTCTGGTTTTGTTTGTTTTGTTTTTCAGATTCCACATACAAGTGAGATCATATTTGGTAATTGTCCTTGTCTGATTCACTGCACTTAGCATAACACCCTCCAGGTCCATCTGTGTTGCTGAAAATGGCAAGATTTCATTCTTTATGTCTGAATGATATTCCGTTGTATAGATATACAACCACATCTTTATCCATGCATCCATTGATGAACACTTAATTTGCTTCCACATGTTGGCTATTGGAAATGATGCCACAGTGAACATTTGTGTGCATATATGTCTTCGAATTAGTTCTCTTGTTTTCTTCAGAAGAATACTCAGAAGTAAAATTGCTGGATCGTATGGCAGTTTTATTTTTAATGTTTTGAGGCACCTCCACACTTTTTTCCACAGCAGTTGCACCAATTTACAACCCCACCAAGAGTACAAGAGGGTTCCCTCTTCTCCACAACCTTGCCAATGCTTTTTATTTGTTCTCTTTTTGATGATAACCATTCTGACAGTGGTGGGTGATATCTCAATGTGGTTTTGATTTTCATTTCCCTGATGATTAATGATGTTGATCATCTTTTCACATTTGCTTCATTATTCATAATAGAGAGATGTTGTATTAAAATTTCTTGCTATTATCATGATTTTATCTCTTTGTTGTTCCTTCAAACTAAGTGCTTACAAGTTTAGAACTCATAATTTCCAGATGAACTGATCCTTTAATCTAGGTACTCACTCTGTCCCTAATAAATATTTTTGTCTTAAAATTCCTTTTTGCTTGATACGAACAGAACTTTCCTGGTTTTATTTTGGTTAGCTTTTGCCTGGTGTATCTTTTACTATTCTTTGACTTTCAACCATTCCACACTCTTATTCATTAGATGTGCCTCATGAAAAATGTAGATCTAAGTTTTGTGTTTAAATATTTTAAAAATGTAATCTGAGATGAGAATTTAGGAATGATTGAGCAAATGACTCCCTATAAACCCTGCTAAAAACTGAGTTTAAAAGCCTGCATTTTCTTTCTTTTTGGCCATGAAATGCGCATATGGAATGTTAATTCCTAGGGGATAAAAGACTAGGGATCCAAGGCTCACCCTCTGTGTGGAAGCAAAGAGTCTTAACAACTGGACACCAGGGAAACCCTAACAGGAAAATCCTAAAAGCCTGCATGTTCAACAACAATCCATAGTTGACAAGAATCCTAACCAAGAAGACTGTCATTCAAGGTGGTCTGTCTGGCTATTTTTCTGTTGTTGTTCAGTCTCTAAGTCGTGTTGACTCTTTTCAAACCCATGGACTATAACACACCAGGCTCCTCTGTCCTCCACTATCTCCTTTTTTTTTTTTTAAAAAAAGCAGTTTTAGGCTTACTAAATTTACAAAATTTAGGGGAAGTAGAGACTTCCCACATACCTCCTGTCCCCACACATGTACAGCCTCTCCTGTTATCAACATCCCCCACCAGAGTGGTCCATTTCTTATGATTGAGGAACATGCAGTGACATGTCATTATCACCCAAAGAACATCGTTGACATTACGGTTCAGTCTTGGTGTGTAAATTCTCTGGGTTTGGACAAGTGTGTACTGACACCTGTGCACCATTGTAGTAGCAAACAGTAGATTCTCTGACCTGAAATCCTCTCTGCTCTTTCAGTCCATTTCTCCCTCCCTTTAATCCCTGGCAGCCACCAATTCTCCAACAGCCACTCCTCATTCCTAAATTCTCACCTCAGTCCCATCACCTAATATCTTGGTGATTTAGGCAAGTTATTAATTCACCTGAGCCCTGAAATTCCTCAGATGCACAGTCAAAATTGGTAGATTTGCTGTGATAATGAGACAGTGTATTAAGACCTAAACTTAGTCCCTAACAAAGGATAGGCATCAGTGAAACGCTAGTTTCCTTTTCCTTCCTCCTTGTCCTAGTAACGTGAAGTCACATTCAGCTAAGAAAAGAGACAGGAAGGTGCCTGGGGGCCGTGTGCATCACCAGAAATCTGAGGGGAAGGGCAGAGGAAGGAGGAGAATGCTGCGCTATCGCCTCCCAAACCCTCTTTCTAGCTTGGAAAGTCCCTCCCTTGCTGACACCAATGAAGTGTCCTGTGGGATTCGGGGCTCCCCAGATTTGGGGCTTGTAGTGGTGACTGTCCTGTGTGCACACACATCTCACACACATGAGCCCCGGGTGCCCACCCACCCCACATAGGACCGTGCCAGGAGGACTAGGTATGTCCCACCTATCAGCTGCTTCCTGGCTTCCTCTGCCCAGTTTCTCATAGACCTGTGGCCCTGGGAGCTGGCCTTCTATGTGGCCTCCCCAAGACCACTCAGATAATGAGAGGAAATACAGTCATCAGCTTACAGAAGGCTGGGAACTCCGGACTGCAGCTACAGGTCACCCCTTCCTGACCAGTGCCCTTCACGTCTCTCCAGGCAGCTCTCGGCTATTCCCTGCAAACCTGTGGATGCCACTCGAGATGTCCCCTTTTGGTGGCTGGGGATTGCTTGGGACTGCTCATAGCCTTTCTTGCCCTGATCTGATGCCCAGGTGAGGCTGGAGATCCTGACTGGGTGTGTGCCAGCCAGAGGGTAGGTCACCTGTACCCCTGGTATCGGGCGGAGAAGGGGGTCCTGGTCCTGAAGTCTCTGAGGCTTTGAGCACAGCGGCCACCCGCCACGGGTGTGGGCTGATGTGTGAGCCTGGTTCCCCCATGACCCCATGACCCTGGGGCAGCAGGCTGGGGTCCTGGTCTTCACACGCTGGGTTTAACAGGCCCCATAACTTCAGGGTGTGTGGATGTGGCAGGTCGTGGAGACTGATGGGGAGATGAAGGGAGGCTGAGGCTCAAGGGAAGGTGAGGGCACATCCCAGCTGGTCTTCAGAGGTGGCCCCGTGGAAAGCAGTGGTCAGTGGAGGGCATCGTCTTCTGCTGACCATCAAAGCGAAAACGAAGACCCTTCCGGGGAGTCCAGGGGACTGTGAAGGAGAATGCCTCCATGTGCTCAGTATTCTGTTTTGGAAAACCTGCCGAGTGCTTTCATGGCAACCATGCAGGAAAGGGATTACTAACACATTTGACAGATGGAAAAACTGAGGCTCAGAAAGAGAAGGCACTTTGTCCAAGGCCACAAAGCTAGCAAACTTAGATTCAAATTCAGCTCTCTCTCTCTCCCTGCAGAGCCTCCCTCTAGCCCCAGCTGAGGGCTAGGTGGGGCATGCAGGTGTGGCGGAACACAGGCCACAGCACAGGCCCACCTGGCCGAGATCAGTTCAGATTCTTGGCCTGCTTCCTCACTAGGCTCCACCCATCCTGGTCTCCTCTGTGCCCAGGGTCTTAGCGCTGATGGTTCTCTGCCCTCTGCAGATACCTGCCAGCCAAGTTCCTCCCATCCCCTTCATCCTTTGTTCAAATGTCACCATTTCCATGAAACCTGTCCAGAGCACAGTATTAACGTGGCAGCCCCGCCCACTCCCTATTTCCTTTCCCAGGCACTTCGCGCCAACTGACAGGCTGGCTAGTTCCCTAGTTTGTTACTCTGCGTCCCTCGCAGCAGTGCGAGCTCCACAAGGGCCAACTTTGAACTTCTTCCGTCTCTGATGCTCCCCAGAGCCCAGAACAGTGCCTGCCTTGCAGCCGGTGTTCTACAAGGATTTGCAGAAGAGAGGGAAGGAGTGAGGGAGGAGCCGAACTCATGGACACGGGGCCTGAGAGGACACGATCCACCTCCACTTCAGGGAGGTCTTCACAGAGGAGGGGTCATTTGGGCTGGGGGGCAAGTTCGAATACAACCTTCTTGGGGATAGGAGAGGTGCATGAGGAAGACTCACCTGGAGGGGACCAGCTGGGCGAGCATCAGGGGCAGGGAGACAACTAGGGCGCATCCCCCTTGGTCTAGACCAGAGGCAGTAATGTCTGAACAAGGAGAGAGGAGCAGAGGGCACCCCTTGATCAGACTGCCCATCGTGGGCAGCCCCATCGGGCAGGGCAGCAGGGGTGTCTGCTGCCCAATGTGTTCTGTCCTTCCAGGGTCTGGTGAGAAGGCGTTCGAGGGGCCAGAGCAACTGATGGTGGGGTCTGGAGAGTTTCAGTTCATTAACTGTACTGCCAGTTGTACGGACCCCAAGAGACTTGTTCTGGAGACAGCCCTAAACAAGACTCTCCTGGAGAGCCAGACTCAGTGGAAGCTGTTCAAGGTCTACAACATCTCCAAGGATGAGGAGCTCCTGTGTAGCTCCACCTGCGGCGGCAAGCAGGAGACGAAAGTTTTCCACATCGCCGTGTTCTGTGAGTGTCGCCCACGGGGCCCTGCTGCCCGAGACCGGAGCCTGTGTCTGCAAACCCGCCCAGAGCTGCTCTGTCACTGCTCCTGGATGCTCCCCTGTGGCCCTCACCTCCCTGGGCTCCTGGGCCCAGGCCACAGGCTCAGAATCTGCTCACACCCTTACCTGGCCCCCTTGAACCCTGCCAGCAACCAGGATTTTCAGATTTGCTCAGAAAGGAACAATCCAAGCAATCTTTAAACAAATCTAAAAGTTGTTTCCCACAGTCTCCTCCCAGCTGGGGAGCACCCCCATCACCAGAACACCCCGCATCCAGTGAGAAGCAGCAGGGACCCCATCAGGAGGGCTGGCACACTCTCCACTAACCCATTCACCTCCTGGAGAGAAGGTCCTTATCTCCCTCTGAGGGCCCTTTGCAAATGTGTGACCATCACGCACACACACACACACACACACCTGCCCAAGGGCCACAGAGACCATGGATAGACCGGGGTTCTCTCGGAAGCTCGGCACCCAGGGTATTGCTCAGAACTGTCATCAGTGATCAAATGAGTAGAAACATGTCCTAAATCTACCAAATTATCCTGGGGTAATGGGGGCTAGGTATTCTAGTTCAAAAATTATTCCAGAGAGATGTCCTGGTGGTCCAGTGGCTAAGACTCAGCACTCCCAATGCAGGGGACCTGGGTTTGATCCCTGGTCAGGGAACTAGATCCCACGTACCACAACTAAGACCTGGAACAACCGCAGAAATAAATCTTCAAAAAAAACCAAACAAACAGGAACTCATGGAGTTTAATAGCTAAGGGATAGAGATAGTTTTAAACCTGATCCTGAAATCCAAGGCAGGTCTGACTCTTGCCCCCACCTCTGAAGAATCTCACAATTCATGGCCCCATTCCAGTCAGTACTCCTTTCTAAATCTCTCTCAACAAAACTATCCAACTGTTTAATTTTGAAATTTCTATTGAATTTATGGAGAGGAAAGAGACACAGCTCAAACTTTTTTATCTTTCTAGTTGACTGAAAAGACTCTGAACCTTTTCTTTTTAGACACCAGGGCACCTCCATTCTTGTCCATTGCAGAAGTCATCATGTCCCTAAAACTACCACCCAGTACATCCTTCACCCTGAACTGCTTCCTCCTTCCATCCCCAGCCCACTTCCTGAGAACACGGTGGTCACAGGGGATGGTCTGGGCTGAGTGTGGCCTGTGGAGCTGCACACCCATCCGGACCAGACCTACCTTCTGCTTTCCTGCAGGCCCTCCAAAGCAAGTGCTGCTGATGCTGTCGCCCACCTCAATGGCCATAGGGATGCTGTTCACCATCAAGTGCAGGGTCCCCGTTTGTGGCCCCCCTCGAATGCCTCACTGTCACTCTGCTCCATGGTACTGAGATCTTGTGCAATCAGACCTTTGTGGGGACAACACTTTCCCCCCAAGATGCCGTGGTCACCCATAACAGCACAGCTCACAGGCAAGATGGCCTCTATAACTCTTGTGCGAGGCCCAGATGGACCTGCGCTCTCGCGGTGGAGGCCTTGTCCACAGAGTCTCAGATCCCCAGAGGTCTGAAGTCAAAGGTGAGGGGAGCCCACAGATCAGGAGGGGGTGCATTCACTTTCAGCCCCTCAGGGGAAGAGAACGCCTTTGCCCCACTCTCTGCCAGCTCAGGGGAGGCACTCGGGGAAACGACGCTTGATCCCTGGGGTTCCTTGGAGCTCCTGGTGAGTCCTAGCTTGGACCCTGACTAGTTGCTTGGTCATGAGTGAGCTGGGTGACCTCAACCAAGTCAGGCTCCTCTCTCTGGCCTTGACCACTCTCTGCAATGATAAAGATGACCTGACTGATCCCTAAGGTCCCTTGGAGCCCTGCTCTTCTGTGACCCTAGATGGCCAAGATCCTCTTTATCTTCAGAGAGTTTGGCCGAAGCTCCTTCATCTCGCCCCAGGGAGGGGCTTGGCCAGGACCACGCCACGGTCCAGACCATGAGGTCTGGCAGCCCATGGCAAGGGGACCATCTGAGTCCATCTGCCCTCATGGTCTCACAGAGGCCAACTGGAGGCCTGGATCCCGGTCCTGTTTTCTGCTTTTGCCACTCATCCCTGCAATGCAGAGTGACAGCAGGATGCCCGGGGGTGGGTGGATGGGTGATAGGTAGACAGATACTCCCCCTTGAGCCTGGAAATTAGGATCAGAGGACTTCTGTGACCTCTACCCCTTCCTTCCCCAGAGCCCATGCCCAACAACCAGATGGTGATCATCGCGATCGTGATAGTGCTGCTGCTCCTGTTTGTGACATTCATCCTCCTGTGCTTTGTCTTCACCCAAAGGTGGCGTCATCACTAGTCCCATCCCTGCATGGAAAATTGATGGGGAAAACAATGGAAACAGTGACTGACTTTATTTTGGGGGGCTCCAAAATCACTGCAGATAGTGATTGCAGCCATGGTATTAAAAGACACTTGCTCCTTGGAAGAAAAATTATGAGCAACCTAGACAGTATATTAAAAAGCAGAGACAATACCTTGCCAACAAAGGTCTGTCTAGTCAAAACTATCGTTTTTCCAGTAGTCATGTATGGATGTGAGAGTTGGACTATAAAGAAAGCTGAGCGCCGAATAATTGATGCTTTTGAACAGTGATGTTGGAAAAGACTCTTGAGGGTCCCTTGGACTGCAAGGAAATCCAACCAGTTCATCTTAAAGGAGATCAGTCCTGAATATTCATTGGAAGGACTGATGCTAAAGCTGAAACTCCAATACTTTGGCTACCTGATGTGAAGAACTGACTTATCTGAAAAAACCCTGATGCTGAGAAAGATTGAAGGCGGGAGGAGAAGGGAATGACAGAGGATGAGATGATTGGAAGGCATCACCTACTCAATGGACATGAGTTCAAGTGAACTCTGGGAGTTGGTGAGGGACAGGGAGGTCTGGCGTGCTGCAGTCCATAAGGTTGCAAAGAGTTTGAACTGAACTGAACTGAGAGGTGGCACTGGCGGTGGACAGGTCACAACTGAGTGCACGCCGCTAAGAAGAGGCTGAGACGGAGCCACCGGGCACCGCCTCTATGAGCGGCGTGGCCACTGGCACGGCGGCCACGGGAACTCACTGTGGCTCCTTAGGGTGCGGTCCAGGCCTGGCTGGGGGACCAAGGCAAACAGCCTGAATACAAACACCTGGACTTAACCCTGTGCCTTCGTGTCTCCTGCTGGGAATGGCCAGGAAGGGGAGCCACCAGGCCTGGCTGAATTTCTGTCTCCAAACGTCTCCTCTGCCCCCTCCGCCCTCTCCTTCGGAGGCCTTCCGGAGCCCCAGCAAACCCAGGCCTTGGCGTGCCCCCAGGCCGACCGGCCCGGGCGCCAGGCACCCAGCCTCATGGGACCCTGAGAGGCCGCTTCCTCCTGACGGAGGGCGGGGAGACCCGCCTGGCCCAGAGGGGCAGAGAGACACTCTGTTCCCACGTGGCCCTCCAGGACATGGCTCTGGCTTCTCTCTTCTGCCAACAGAGCCAGCATCCAGGGGTGAGTGTGGGGGCCCAGTGGCTGGGCTCCGGGAACCTCCCTGCCAGGCCTCCCCCACCACTCTGGGCCTTCGGAGAGCCATGGAAACAAAAGCAGTCCTCGCCTCTTACCTCCAGTTCTGTTATTGGGCTAAAAGGAGACGCCGCAGTCCTGGTCATCCAGAGAGAGGGTAAGGGGAGGAGGTCGAGGGAGGGCTCCGTCTCCCAGGCCTCTGCTAGTAGGGGCAGCGATCAATGGGACAAGGTTAGCCTTTCATGTGGCTTCTGGGGCCTGGACAGGGCTCTAAGGGGCTCTCACCTGGATCAGATATCAGGTTGGTTCAAGGCCTCCGTGTGGTGGAGACGGGACTCATTCACCCCAGGGAGAGGGCCTGGTTGGGGATGGGAAGGTAAGAAAGGTTGCCAGGTGTAGAAAGGGGTTGGCAGGCACGAGAGGGACACAGGGCCTCCAGGGCTGTTTCCAGCTTGGCGATGAAGCAGGCCTGGACCCCAGGGCTAATGTCTGTTCTCATATCACAAGGCTCTTAGCATTGTAGTAGTCTGGGGGAAGAAGCACCCTCATCGTGACTGCCCCCTGCCTCAGTGGACCCCAAGGAAGAGTTAAGGGGACAGAGCCCTTGTCTGTGATGATGACATAAGTCCGCCTCCCACCACCCCAGTGCACATGGCCCTTCCTACCTTTGGATCCACCCCTTGGCCCCAGCCCTGCTGACGACCCGCCCCGTCCCTATCTGAAGCCAGGGGTACATCTGCACCCACAGTTCCCGTGGCACTTGTGGGTGGAGTTGGGGGCACAGCTCAACTGAAATGGAGAAAAGAAAAGAAACCACCCCCCCATCAGAGTTCCCAGGGTGGCATCGCAATTTCACCCACATGTCTTCCCACCCCACCCCAAGCCCCTCGCCAGCTCTTCCAGCCCCAGAAAAAGGCCTGGCAGCACCCAGAGCCCCAGCCTCATTTACACCCCCCTTTTCCCAGATGCAGGATGGTGGTGCTGAATCACAGCTGAATCCTGCAAGCAGGGCTGATGTTGGGGAGGGGAGGGAGAGTGCCTGGCCAGGGAAGCAGGGGGCCCAGGGCAGGCATCGGGCAGGGCAGGTAGTGGTGATGGAAAACCAGAGGGCCTCCTCCTGGGGCTCCGTCTCCTTCTCCTGTTGACCCTCCAGGGAGACCTGGGGATTGTGCACATGGAACTGGACACAGCATCAGACTCTCCCTGCCCCTGGTCCTGTCTGTGCGGTACTTAGTCGCTTCAGTCGTGTTCGACTCTTTGCAACCCCGTGTACTATAGCCCCCAGGATTCTCTGTCCATGGGATTCCCCTCACAAGAATACTGGAATGGGTTGCCATTCCCTCCTCTGGGGGATCTTCCTACCCAGTGATCGAAACCCAGCCTCCTGAATCTCCTGCATTGGCAGGAAGATTCTTTACCACTTGGCCACCAGGAAAGCCCTGTCTTGGTCCCAGATGCATCCTCATTTGTGTCTTTGCTAAGCCAGGACTCTCAGTGGTAGGCGCTGAGGGGCAGGCCTGTGAGAGCAAAACCTCTGCTTGTGAGTGAGCCCAGCTGGCTGCCTAGCACCCAGCTCTGAAACTCTGCCTCTTGGTACAAAGCTACTCTGCCAGGGGAGGGTTTTTTTGATTGTTAGGTGAAGTGGCAGATGTGAAAGATCTCAGAACAATCATTCTTAGTTGTAAGTAGAAGTGTTTGGTGGTTGGGCATGTCAAATACAGGGAAGACTTTCCTCCCTGATGTTGACAAGCCTCCTGCAGGGGTTCAGTGGGCAGCTCATCCTGGATCTGTCTTGTTCATCAAAGGCCCCCAGGAGCACAGAAACAACACATCAAAATAAAGAGTGCAGAGGGAATTTCCTGCTGGTCCAGTGGTTAGTAGCACTTTCACTGCTGTGACCCGAGCTTAATTCCTGGTTGAGGAACTAAGATCCCCAACCAGGGGATCTTCAGCATTTGTGGCCTCAACTGTCTTAGTCCCTTGAATGCATGCATGCATGCTCAGTCATGTCTGACTATTTAGGACCCCATGCACTATAAGCTGCCAGATTCCTCTGTCCTTGGGATTTCCCAGGCAAGAACACTGGAGTGGGGTGTCATTTCATTCTCCAGGGGATCTTCCTGACTCAGGAATCAGCTCCCACATTGGCAGACAGATCCTTAAACAATGAGCCACCTGAGAAGCCCCGGTATGCATTTACCAGGGCTTAAAACAAGAGATAACAAACAGAAAGTGATGTGAGGATGAGGTCAGAGCTGGGACAGGAACCACGTGACTTCTGAAAGCGAAATCAGTCAAAAACCAGGCACCACTTGTTGAACCAGCAGCAGCCCAGGGAACAACGGCTGCTGGAAGCTGGACCTCGGCCACCCTGTTTACCTATCACAGCAGCACCCGTTTGCTGATACAGGTAAGGTGATGCTCCCCGCTTCCCTCTTGGCACAGTGGAAAGGGCTTGGGATAGATTGTCAATCAACAATTGAGTTCTTCTTTCCCTCCCTGTCTGCCCATAAGCCCAGGGGCTGGGGTTGCTTCAAAATTTCCTCCGGCTGGTTGGCCCTTGCATGAGGAGCTCACGTCAGCCATCTCTCTGAGTCCAACAGCCTATTGCTTTGTGGTTATTTTCCCTTTTTGTCCTTTCTCTTCCTCTCCTGCTCTGTCAACCACATAACTGTCTTAGAAGCATGAACTGCCTTCCCACCATGGCCCAGGTGGGTCCAGGTCATCTGGATTGAGCTCAGAGCTGATGCTTAGGGCACAAGTATAGTCCCCAGCTTCTTGGGGTCATACTCAAGGTTCCTGATGAATCCTATTCAATGAAATCCTATCTGGTTAGAAGGGACTTTCCTATCCTGTGG